CTCCGTGCCGCCGCCGCCGCACGCCTCTCCTCCACAGGCGGGCTGCCCTACGAGCTGACCGAAGGGGACGTCATCTGCGTGTTCTCACAGTAAGTGGCGCTGCCTTTGCTACCCTTCAGGGCCTGCTTGTGGTGGAGGTACGCTGGGACCCTGCGGAATGGGAGGTGCTCTGCCTCTGCTGCCTGCCCTCCTGCAGGCCCCGAGGCCCTCTGTGCGTTCTCCGCAGTGGTTTTGGCCGCTAATCATGCGTTTCAGGTATGGAGAGGTTGTGAACATTAATCTGGTGCGGGACAAGAAGACTGGAAAGTCTAAAGGCTTCTGCTTTCTTTGTTATGAAGACCAGAGAAGCACTATTCTGGCTGTTGACAACTTTAATGGAATCAAGGTCAGTGAAGCAGAGCGAGACACAGTCCTTCTAGCTAAAGAGGCTTGTGGTATGACATGTCATGTCGTGTCAAACAGCAGCCCCAGCAGTGTGGGTCACTGGTATCCCGTGTTGCTTGGGAAGCTTGCCTGTGGCTGTGCTAACGATGTGACTCCTTCTTGTAGATAAAAGGAAGGACAATTCGAGTGGACCATGTGGCTAGCTATCGCCCCCCCAAAGACACTGATGATTTAGATGATGTCACCAAAGCCCTCCGTGAAAAGGGCTGTGGAGTTAAAACGCCACCTCATACTTCATCTGATTCGTTGTCAGAAGATGATAACGTGCCAGTAAAAAAGCAGAAAGGTTAAGTGTATTTCTGTCAGAGTCCTTACCCCAGTTGGGAATGTCTGCATGAATCCCTCTGTCTTGCTAGTGCCTTCAGCTCAGGGAAACAGCATCAGTGGGAGAAGGAGGGGCAGATGTGTGCTTGAAAAGGGCCTCAGTCCTAAAGTCCAGGTTGTAATTTGTGATCTCCTGAGTGGTATCTGATTGTCTGTATTTAGTCTTTTACTCCCATCCTCTCAGAGCTGTATCTTGCAGGTAATAATAGTACTTTTTTCCTGGAAGAAAGAAACTGGCTGCCAGGCTGTAGCATTACTCCAGGGAGCGGCAATGCTGTTTGGGGGAGGGAAAGGAAAGGCACTACTTAGTCTTAGAATAGCTGCTTCCTGATTTTAAGATTGAGGTGCTGCAGGAGCATTGCATGACCCTTGTGTGGCCTGCAAAACATAATTAAATTGTGTAGAGAATAAAAAGAGCAGACTTAGTTGGCTTTGGTTTCTGGACATAAAAATCTCAATCCAAGGTAGACTTAAAAATATAGCATAAGTTAAACCAATTCAATGCTTAAATATTCCCTATTGTCAGGGGACACAACAAGGTCTGCTGCTGTATATCTTTCAGAAAACATCTGTTTTTGTTAAGGAAATAGTTTTGTTCAGCTTGGGTTTACTAAATGAATGTGCCAAGTAAAGGGTTAGCCTATATGATCAGATTGATGCTTTTTTTAGAAAGCATTATGGTTTTTATCCAACCTCGTAGCAGAGGTCTTGAAAAGTAATGCACATCAAGGCCTGCAGAGTGCTAGAAGCAGTGGCTTGTAGCAGAACCTCTTTAGATTTGTTTGTTAGCTCCTTCCGAGTGGTACCTAACTGAAATGGGGTCACAGCTCCCAGGATGAGCTGGTTTGGCATGGTGGTGTTGGGGTGGGTGGGGAGGTGGTAGTCATTCTGGAATTGGCTAGTGCTTATGACATGTAACCAGCCATGTGGAGGACTCTTCCCTCCAGCACCTGGGCAGTATCTGTGACAGGCTCCCTGTTAGCTATTTGCAGCAGGTTCAGTAGTGTTGCATTGATGTGGATGTGGGGTGGGTGCCTTGGCATGGGATGGTCAGGCTAGAGTCCTAGTTTGCAAGAAGTGGGCTGGAGAAAAGAAAATATGGAAGAAAACTAAGGTGGGGACTAGATGTTGCTCCAGAGAGCTGAGGAGATGTGCAAAAATGAGAAAGGCAAAGGAGAGTGAAGAAGGAAAAGAAGCATTGAGTCCAGAGAAGGACATTTCCACAGAGTTGTTAAGGACGTTCTTAGTGTTGCATGTCTGTTATTGAGAAAAGAGAATTGAAGGAAAGTGGTTGATGGGCTGAGCCATGTTAAAATGTGCCAGGACAGCTTAGCTGGGAAAAATGCAATGTGGCAATTGTGAAAGAAGAAAGTGGGATGGTTCCATCTGGAGGAGAAAAGTGCTAGGGCTGAAAGTGGAATAGGATCTCTCTGGGCCGTTAGGAGGCTGTGAAACTTGGGAGGGGAGGGGAAAATCATTGACCTTATCTAAAGATGGGAGGGTGTTCAAAAAACGCTGTCGTGTTAAGTGGCATAGCTTGAGGAGCTGAGCTAATGCTTGCAGGGCTATTGCTCCCTAAAGATGAACCTGTATTTCAGATAAAGAGAAAAGCGGGCAAGAACGGCAAAAGCAGAGCCTGCATGCTGTGAAGAGGGCTGCGTCCGCAGAGGAGTCACATCCAAGAATCAAGATTAAAAAGGAGAAAGAGGATCCTGCCTATGACCGGTATGCCAGCGTGAGTCAGCAGTCTTGGAACGGGTCTGAGAGGAAATATGGGAGCAGGACGCAGCGGGATGAGGAAGAGCAGAGGCACCAGAGAGCTTCGGAGAGAAGAGGGGAAAAAAGCTGCCAGGAACAGAGGGGACAAAACAGGAAAGAGAGAGGGGAGACTGGCAGAAAGGGTGAAGGTCACAGCAGCAGACGAGAAGAGTGTCTCGAGGGAACCAGATCCAGGGACCGTCGGGAGAGCAGTGCCCGAGAGCCCCATTCCAGGCACAGAGAGCCAAGTACCACGAGGGATTCCAGCCGCCGCTAAGCTGTTGGGTGAGCAGTACCTGGGGCTATGGCTCCTCCGACCAAGAGGCATGTGTTCCCTGAACCTAGCCCAAAGTCTACGCAAAGCCTCCTGATGCATCTGTGAGGACGCCACCAGCAGACTGCTAGTCTCCACTAGTTCTTAGCTTTGTTTCTCTTCCAGCTCTCGGACAAGGATCTCCTTGTTTCTGCTGCAGACTGAGATGTGAATTTTGTTGTCATCTTGTTCAGCCCTTCTGTGCTGTGGCATCTTGCAGCATTAATGGTGGATGGCCTTGCAGGCATGTAGATGTGTCGAGCCACTTCACTGCACCATGAAAACAGATCACAGGGCTGCTATTGTTTGTTCCCTAAGCTGCCCAGTGTCAGCAGTCTGGGCGAGACTGTTTTCCATTCCCCTTGGCCCCCCTCCCCCCCCCCAGTTACACTCACTTTCTCATTTCTCGCTGCAGTGAGAAACTGGTGGGAATCTTGTAGGCCTTACACATGCTGGGTTTGTCTCCTGAGCCCATCCTGTGTATCTGCCAGCTTCTGTGATGAATCCCAAGGGATGCACTGTTGAATCAGGGCTATTTATTGTTTTTTAAATGTCCCTTAATAAAGTTGATCTATTAACTGAAAAATAGAACTGTGAGAACTGTCCTGGTAACTGATAAAGGTATACTTTTACTTCTTATACTGTGTTCAGGCTGACTGGACCTGAAGACCAAAGGTAATTGATATCAAATTTGGGGATATATGGCAACATAGGAATGGATGTTTTTTAGCCATATCTGGTTGCTACAGGCACCTTGCTATATGAAAATATGTCTCAAAATTCCCATAGAGAGGAAATATGGTTTCAAATAGTCATCTAGCTGTAATGCCTCAAGGGCAAGATAAGTGCTTCACCCACCAAGCTTGCTAGAGCCCTTGACTGGAAGATGCTGGACAAGACTGAAGCATGAAGGCTGAAAATGGAGAACTTCAAT